ATACAAGATGAATTATAAAAAACACAACACATCGTAATGAACATAATTTCGATTAAAAAGAATCTAAAAAAAATAAAAATCTATTACCAAAACATTCGCTTTGGTTAATTTCTTCAATTCCCGACCTCGAACTCTGATTGTCATCATAAACCATTTTAATCTTCTCACTGTTGTCGATTTATTTTTCATAGCGTTTATCCATATTAGCTTGATCGATACCGAAATTTTTTACTACCTATTTTTCTATGCGAATTAAAAACTGATAAAACAATGAACATGCAAGATCAAGATTAAAAAAAATAAAAATATTAATATTATAAATGCATATTTTTTGGGATTTAATTATTTGTAACTCTCCATTAATTGTTTGGGAGTTACATATCAAATCAATTTACTGAAATACCCTTGTAATTAAAATGTGAACATGACATAAACCTACAAGAAGAATGAAATTTGATTGGTTGTCATGGTTTTCAAAGTTAACACAAAATTGTTGGTTAACATTTGATATTCCCCCTATATATATATATATCCAAAGTTTAATTTGAGAAGTGGTAAATATTTGAGAAATAAAGAAATAATCTTATTTCTTCATACGATTAATGCTTACCAGTTTCATGTGTGTTGCTTCATAGATGAAACAACACATGTAAAAACCAAACTCGTGAAAATCAACCAAAATCATCCCGTTAGTTTGATTTTAAGTTATAATTCATATTATCTCATGACATGTTTTGTTCTTGTGTCTGAATAAGAGTGTGTTTTCATGTACAAATGTATTTTGTATATTTTCAATATGCAAAACATTCATTGATGTTTCATTTATGAAACAACATTGTATAAACACTGCATGTTCACATGTGATATGTGTTGTTTTATTTATGAAACAACACATACAAATTGGTTTTCACAGTTTTAATGTTTAGATGGTTTCTATTTGATTTGTCCCTTATATATAAACTTGGAATAATGTGATAAATGTTTTTTTTTGGTAGTAAGTGTGAAGAGTTGTGAAGGTACCCTTATATTATGTGAATGTTACATTAGAGAAATAGGGTTCTACCGGTAAACTATAGATTTTATAGTTATTTTGTGAAAGTGCTGAAGCTTACAAGACTTGAATATTTACTTTCATCTGATTCTGTGAAAATAGTTACCTTCACAAAATATAAGGATACCTTTACATATTGTAGATGTTATGTATCTCACATTTATTACAAAAAATGATATATATATATATATAGAGAGAGAGAGAGAGAGAGAGAGAGAGATGGGCGTTCAAATATAAACCGCCTCAATTTATACAAACCATACAAACTAATAACAACTAATCACATAAATTCATTTGTTTTTCTTTATTTTTAATTTATAAGAGCATTATGATCTTTTGAGATTACAATAGTTATGTTTGGTAAATATTTAATACTAATAAATCAGTTTGATAATTCTTTAATTTTATATAAATGTGGATTATATCTTGATTAGCTAGCACCTTATTAGTAAATATTTAATTGATTTATCTATTAATATGTTGTGAAAACTTAGTTTAATCTAACTTTTAACCATTTATCGAGTTTCCAAAATATGTCTTATTCTACTTAAGTTATATATATATATATATATATATATATATATATATATATATATATATATATATATATATATATTAATTTTGATATTCAAGTGGTAGATCCTAAGAACTTAAAAGTGTAAAAATAATTTTAGTCTCTTCTAAATTCCTATTTCGACCCTTATATGACTGGTCGTCTAGAAGACAATGTTCTAAAAAGTTCACCACGTTCAAGGGCGGAACCACATGGGGGCCTTTGGGGGTTGCTTTTATACTTAAATACTATAAATAAGCTTTTAAAAATATATACAATAAGTAGCTCAATTGACAATCATGTACATTGGAGGTTGTTGTTTCAAATCCCCTCCCAAGCATTTTTTTGCACTTTATATAAATTATTAATATTTAATTATTAATATATTATATGTAAATATAAGTTTTTAAAGTAAATTACACCGATATTACTATTTCTCGGTTAATACTTTGAATGTTTAAGTTTTTAGAGTGAATAATATAATATATTAATTATATGTAAATAATGTTTAAGTTGGTATTATTTCGAGTTTTAATATTACATTAATCAATCTTTTTCTAAAATTTAATAGTCTAAAAACAAATCATTTGGATTTACAAATTTTTACAATATTATAGCATCTTCAACATATTCTTCAAAAATTTTCCAAAATGGATAATTAAAACTCTATTAAAACCAGGGCTCGAGCTCCCCGCCCTAGCCAATCTTCCATTGGCAGGAAAATCGTTTCGATCCAATCCATTCTTGGGGTCAAATAAAGACAAAAAAAGATATGTCAGTGACCTATAAACCATTAATATCAAAGATTCTTATCGGTGTGAATATGATAAAAAAATGATTTTATCTCATTGTAATCAATTTTTGTTTACACTTTCTCATGTTTTCTCCGTTTTGGAGAATTTTGGAGAGCATGTTGGAGCAAAAATATGCTAAAATCTCAATTTTATCAATTTTGAAAAATCTATTGAAGATGCTCTTATATTTCGGCCTCCCAGACTACAACGGTTGTGTTCCATCCCTGGCCACGATTGCCATCGTGTCATGCTTTGACTGAAGACTCTTATCTAACTCTATGTTAACTTTATGGCATACAAAGACCCAACGCGTATTTTGTGTAATATGATATTTAATTTTTCTTACATTTTCATCTTAATTTGTAATATTTAGTATATACTTTATACCTCGAGTCTTTTAGAACCTTAACTAAAAGTGATAAAGTTTATCTAATTTCTTATTAAAAATTATTAGAATAAATTATTATACATAAAAATTGAAAATATGAAAAATAGAAAATGATTTTACGCGTAATTTTCTTATGCATTAAAGAGGTCAAAAGCTGCTTTTGAACTTCTATCTCCGTAATTTTCGTCCTTTTTTTCTTTTTAGAAATAAAATATTTTATTTTTTAAAACAATAGTAGACTTTTTGGTAAAACAGGACTTTGATGCCAAATATATTAGTGCTGCTTTTTAGACTTAACATATATTTTAATTTAATTGTTTAATTATTTTAAAATATTTTATGTAAAAACACTTAAAACTAGAATATTACTCGTCCAATGGAGCCGTATTAATATTTTGTTTTAAATTTCTTTGTTTGTGTCATTATTACATCAATGTTTTATATGGTTTTAAGAAGTGATATAAATTTGAAAAATATTATAAAACTTTGAAAAAATATATATCAATATCAGTATCAAATTAACTATCTAAAAGTTCTTGTTTTTTTATAATTTTTTAATTCAATTTATTATTATTATTATTTAATTTATGTTTAATTTATTAAAACCAAGGAACTCAACCATCCAAAAAAGTCTTGCGAATCTATCACCTAAACTAAAGTTACCCACCAATTTATCTTTCCAAAAGAGGGTGTCACTCCCATTCCCAGTTTTCCTACTAAAAGACGAAATGAAATTGATTCTACACCTCTCAAGATCCCTCCCACCTTTGGTGTAATATCACACCAAGTTGAGCCTCTATGGTCTGTAACCGACACAGATTCACTAAGACCCATGTCTCTACCGAAGATACTTTGAATGACTCTCACCCAAAAAGCATGCCCCTCAACCCGAAAGCGCCACCATTATTTTCTGAAAAGACTTAGATTTTAACAAAAGCTTACCCTTGCCTAGTAGTAGTTATATTTGAAGTGATGTATCACTCATCCCGCTCCTAAGGTAAGGCGTCTTCTGTGTGTTAGAATCTTTACGGGAATGAATTGCATATGTTGGTTGAGAATTGCTCAAGTGAGTATGATACTTGCTATTCGTATTTTTAGTAATAGTATTGTAGGGCATGGGCCAACCCTGGAGCAGAATTCAAAAGATGAGAAAATTAAGTTTTACTAAAATAAGATTCAAACCCTTGACCTCTTGTATGTCAGTGTAAATCTAACCATCCAGACCATCTCATCTATGTTTGATTTCTGTTTTTAATTTGGTTTCAACATATTTGAGGAGTACGTGCCCTCAAAATCAAGTTTGTGCAACATTTCAAACGTCTAAAACTTTTTCTCTTGCAACAATCGAATGAGAGTTAGCACGGGACCCTCTTGGCCCTTAGTCGGTCGCTCCTTGTCTACAGCCGAAACTGCTAAACTGACGTAACACTGTTGTAAAATTTCAACACTCAAATTTTCACTATACGACCATGGTTCTAAATAATTCATTATGACCTTGTTATAGCATCAAGGCTTGGGTTTCCCGCGGCGTTAACCTCAATGGCTTCACTCTAAGGCGTGACTTGCACTGTAACCGTTACGCCACGTTATGGCACGTTTACTTTTGTAAGGTGGGGGCTACTTTAATATATAATTTGAGCGATAAATGATAATTATGTATGAGATTTAGGACTTAAATAAACACAAAAAAAAAAAAAAAACTTAAAAACTAAAACATTAAATATATAAAGATTTACTCACATTCCCATACACAAAAAGTCAAACACATATTTTTTTGAAAATTGAAAAAGGTAATAACTAGAGATTCAAGAAATTTAATCTCAATTTTGTACTTTTGGTATCATTTTCTATAAGCTCTGTATAGTTTGTATCAATGGTTCTTTTGTCTTTTCGGTTTCAATACTTTACATGAACCCCTAAATCCGCCCATGTGTGTGTGCCGCTTTAGGGCATACCTTGCAAAACGTTGTGACCTTGCCGTAACTCATTAAGTTTGAGGCTTGACCTTGCCGTCACGTTATGTCTCATGTCATTTAGAACCTTGTATACGCCTAAATAACACTAACCATCTCCAACCGATTAATGTTAAACTATAACAATGTTATGTATTTGACCTATAACTATAATATTTTTTGTGTATATTAGTAAGTAAATTCGTAAAACTCATACTTTATATTTTATTTCCAAAACCCATGGTCATTTTTAGCTGCAACTGAAACTCAAAACCTTCAAGGGTCCAACCTCTGACATCGCATAACCAGTATGCTTCAATGTCCCAAATCCTCCGTCAATCGTCTTTCGGTTCACCATCTTCTCCAACTCTCTGCCCAATTTCACCAGGTTCGCGCGAAATCGGGTCGTCCGCCATTCAAGAACAGATATGACAACAAGGACGACAATGGTGATGGTTATACTCGAAAGAGAAATGAGAATCAAGAGGATCGTTTACAGCTATACAAAAGCAGGGGCCAACATCTTTTAACTAACCCAAGAATCCTTGATTCCATTGTTAGGAGTTCCGGTGTTGGGCCTGGCGAAACGGTTCTTGAAATCGGACCTGGCACCGGAAATCTTACCCTGAAGCTTCTTGAAGTTGCTAAAAAGGTTATTGCAGTGGAAGTTGATAAGCGTATGGTGGAGGTCCTTAACAAACGTGTTTCTGAACGTGGATTTGGCGATAAATTGACGGTATGCATTATTAAGAATAAGTTGCTTATAAACTGTTCGATGAAATGTCTCACAGAAGCTTTGTAATTCTCCCTCTAGTTAGATAAAGTGTATGCTATCTGGGTATAAGCTTTAACATAAGTTATTCAAGAAAAGTTCAGAATTTACGTCAAGTTTGAAATCTAAAACTGGTGTCAGATTGATGCCAATTTGGGTTCTTGCAGATTATATGTGAAGATGCACTAAAGACAGATTTTCCAGATTTTGATCTTGTAGTAGCAAATATCCCTTATGGGATATCATCGCCTTTGATAGCTAAATTGGTATTTGGGGGATACCAGTTTCGAAATGCGACTCTTCTCCTTCAAAAAGAGTTTGCTAATCGACTCTTGGCGAATCCCGGTGACTCAGAGTTCAATCGGTTGGCAGTCAACGTGAAACTGGTTGCTGAGATTGATCATATCATGAACGTAAGCAAAAGGGATTTCGTGCCAATTCCTAAAGTCGATTCATCAGTTGTTAAAATCCGTTTGAGATCTGAAGTTCCAAATCTAGATCTTAACGAATGGTGGGCGTTCACTAAAACGTGTTTTGGGAAGAAAAACAAGACGCTGGGTGCCACGTTTAGGCAGAAGAAGAAGGTGGCAGAGCTGCTAAATTTGTCGAAGTTAACAAGTCTTGATGAAAATATTGAAAAACACGATTCTTGTAATCGAAGCGACGATGAGGAAGATGAATGGGAGGATTCAGGAACAGGGGTGAAGTCGTTTAAGGAAAAAGTTGTCGGGATTCTTAGAAATGCCGGGCTCGAGGATAAGAGACCATCAAAATTATCGAATGAGGAGTTGATGCATTTGCTATCGTTATTTAATGAAGCGGGAATATGTTTCCATGACGAATCAAGGCCCGTAGATATCAATGCTTCATTTGCTGCATCATAGAGTAAGAATCGCCACTTCCATGAAGTTATTTGATTCTAGAATAGAGGCGAACGAGCGTTTTTAAGTCCCTAAATCTGTTAGATATTGGCTCTGATACCATGTTAGAATATGTAGAACCCATTTGGTTAATAGTATATTGTGGCTCAATGTCAAAGCAATCTTACATGCTATTAGAGAGCGAATTCCTCCCCAATGATTGGTTTTTATAGGGTGAATTTATTTTTGCTGGTGGATTTATTGTTGGAACTAAAAATAAAGAAGCTGATTCAGTAGCATTGACTGTAATAAGATTATGTTAATAAAAAATGGCTCGGTGGTATGTTAACGAATTGGTCCACTACAGAGACGAGAATGATCGATAAATATTGATATATTTTTATTTGAGTTTGGTTGGAGGAGTACCAAATTAGGCATTGAAATTAGAGAGGATACAAAAATACAACCATGTGTACTTTTGTCTAACGGATATGTATTCTCGTCGACTTCAGTTACAAATTTATGAAAATTATGAGTTATCTCGGTACCTCAACTTTTTAGCTCGACTAAAGACGACTATGGCAAACTGAACGGATTGGGTAGCTCGTCAAGGGTAAGGGTCCGAATGAACAAGTCAAATAGATTAAAAAGCGTTATATGGATGATGAGTTAAACGAGAGTAAGAGTACATATAAACGAGTCAAATAGGTGACTCTAAAAAAGGGATTTAATGAAGCCCTAGCAGGTCTTATGTACCTGTTCAAACGATTTCCGTAAGAAGAATTTTTTGTGGGGATGAAAGGTGTGTATGCAAAACTTTGAGGGGATGCTCAAAGATATTAGAAAACATAAGAGACATCAACCAAAAAAGTCCTTCGGAATCAATGAAAAGACCTAAAAGTTATTTCAAAATCAACCAAAAAAACTCAAAAAATCTTGAAATCGATCAAAAAAACTTCAAAAAAACCCCTCACTGAAATTCGGTTAAAAAGGCCTCATACGACTTTACGAGTCCTTAATCCCCCTTAAAAGTGCTACCTGTTCGACAAAATCTTAGACCCACCGCTACAATTAAATAATTTGATAAATATTACAAATGAAATAATCCAACAAGGGTAAAATAGGAATTTTAAGTTTTTATGCATAAATGGTCAACCACTTAGAGAGATATTTGAAATGAATACATCCAAATGACACCAAGACACTTGATAATGAAATAAACCATACATCTAAAATTATGTTCTCTTTATATAAAAACTTAAAAAGTCAAACTTTGATGTGTGCACAAGAAACTCGTAGGCATTCAACAATCACATGAAGTTATCAAATTGCAAATAAAAATAACAGATCAGTTGTTTGAGAATCAGATTTCTGTTTCAATGTGACAGTGACAGACAAAGATGAAGAAGAAGACATGATGATGCAAATGTTCTGCAAAAAAGGGACGTCGTCGTCATATTATCAGTTCCGTCATTCTGATTGGAGAAATGTATTTATTTCTCAAATCGACATAGTTGGCTTTTCATCGAGTCAAACCACATTGACTTTTCCATAGAATCAAACGTGATTTTATTGGGCATTTGATTCTCTTTAAAGATGTTTCGCTCGGCAAAAATCTAGAACCCGTCACTGATATACAAGACATAATGTCTTTTAACATAGGCTCGATGTTGTTAACGAGTGATCGATTTTGATAAGAAGTTTTTATTTGGACAAAAATAAAAACATTTGGACTAAAACTGCAATTTAAACATTTTTAGGGGGTGATTATGTAAGTTATCAAAAAGCATAAAGAATAAATCCATATTATTATTTATATACAGTAAAGAAAAGGAAAGCATGTAGCGACCCACCTCCATCTTGGATACCTCCGGTCTACACCTACAAAGGCAGCCCTTTCCCATATCTCCGCCAGTCTCCGCCGCTATGACCGATTCCTCCGTTTCATCTCGCAAGGTCTCCTCTCTATCTCTATCTCTATCTCTATCTATACATCTATGTTTATATCTATATCCATACATACATGTACGTTTCTGTATATGTATTGGTTAGTTTTTACGAACACTTCGATTTCGATTGATGTGTGTATTTGTATTGGTTAATTTTTTCTTTTGTATACTTTGATGTCGATTGATTAGGTTCTAAGCAAAATTGCTAGCAATAGACTTCAGAAGGAGCTGACGGAGTGGCAGATCAATCCTCCCTCTGGATTTACACACAAAGTCACCGATAATCTTCAACGGTTAATTAGTTTTAAATTTTAGCTTTGAATTGTTAGTTTTTTCATGTTCCAAGGGTTATTTCATTTTGTCTATCCTAATTGCATCGTTTCTCCGTAACATTCTCAGAAAGGGATCAAAGAGAAATTTGATTCTGGTTCTGTGACCAGTGTTGATTAATTTACATCTGCAATGTTCTTTTAAATCTAGGGTTTGTGGAAATTTAGATGTTCCAAAATTTGACGTCTTATATAATCCATGAAATTTCGAAATTATGTTTGTGAATTATGGTGTTTTTGCATTTGTTATTTGCAAAGGTGGGTGATTGAAGTGAATGGAGCTCAGGGAACTATTTATGCTAATGAAAAATACCAACTCCAAGTTGACTTTCCAGAGAATTATCCTATGGAAGCACCTCAGGTGGATTGACAGTATTTTTAAGTGAAATTTTAAGTGTCCATAGTATGTCTTCGTAATTGATGCTTGTGGTCATGCATTTTTGGCTTATAATTTGTTTGATGGAACGACACAGGTGATCTTTTTGCATCCTGCTCCACTTCATCCTCACATTTATAGCAACGGCCATATTTGTTTAGGTATGTCATCAAGTGCCTGGATGATTGTATGCTTTCTAAGTTTCCATATCCTCACTATATTAGTGAAATGGACTTGAAGTGTGTTTGGTTATATGTCAGCATGTGTTTGGTTATTCTCACTACATTGCATGCTGTTTGTATGTTGTTTCCATTGGTTAAGAACTGTAATTAAGTTAGGATCAGGGTCTTCCCTATCCTTTATGATATGCCATCACATCATATATTAAAGCATTCGTAATTGATCCTTTTTAATTTTTGAATTGCTGTTAAAGTTTGTGCATATTCATGCTGTTTTTGGCTTATTGTGGTAGTTGTGAACGTTGGTCCTTAACCATGAATAAGATATATGTGCTTCATGACTGAAAATTACCATCAACAATCTTCATACTGTTAAACCTTCTAAGTTGTGAATTTGTAACATCACATGATGCACATCTAGTTTTGAAAATCAAGTAAAATTATAGAATTGGTGGAGTTTTGCATGTTACAAGAGTATGCTGGTTGTGGGATCAAGATGGGGAAAGATGCAAACACTAATGTCTTGCATGTTCAATGAGTCACCATCTTACAAACCGAATTCTCAATGAATTTTCCTTGTTAATTTTCTATTTTGAGTTATTCTTCCCCTCTATCTATAATATAATATAACATAATATACATACATGCATATGCACATATGACATATGCATACGTTCATGCATAAACTTTTTGACGCACATTCACACGCACCCTTATCTGTGTCCATGTGTGTGTCTATGATGTCCATGGTTAGAAACAAAATAGTTATCGATTACTTGACGTTGCACCTTCTTAATTTGTACTCTCTTGTGGGGGTGGTTGCGCACTTCTCTTGGTTGCATTCCCACACTTGAAACTGTTTGCGAGAGTGATTAGGTGGGGAACATTATACTGTGCCTAGATAACTTGGTCGAAGAGACTAATTTCCTGAGGAAGTTCTCTTGCAGATTCAAAATTTCAGGATAAGTTCAGTATGTATAGTGGGGTAACTGTCTAGATGGAATTCTCATGAAATGGTTTGTGGTTAGAAAATGTGAACTGAGAACACTCACATGAGGAGTTCAAGATGTATAGATGGATAACATTGGCCAAGTGAAAGATTCTCTATGCATGAACACACATGTTATAGCTAATATTTTTGTATGGGTTACTCCTTTTAAACTGAGAGGTCTGAGTTCGAATTATTGGAACAGTCATTCTCTATGCATACCACCTATGAGATCTCCCAAGCCCTTGTAAATTACAAGGGGCCTTGGTGCTCTCTTTTATCAGTGTACATTAATGGTAGAAAGGGTATCGGCATTCAGTGAACAACTTATACTTTGTTGCTTATATGAACCTCCTTCCTTCCCTGTAAGTCACGTTTGTATTTCACAGATTCAAATCTCATACTTTTTTATTTTACATATTATTTTTGGTTATTTGTCTCCAACATGTTCCCATTCTAAAATTATTCATATAAATGTACAATTTAGTTCCTTTGAACAAAAAATTGACAAAATTATTCTCAATTTTGAAGGTACTAAATAGCACATTTGATATTTAAAAGTCAAACGTGGATGCTTCTATTTGACACACAAGTGCTATGACATTTATCAATTAATCATGTATTGTGCTTTCCATTTCATAAGCTCTTTCCAATATTCTGGGAAGGTTTATACATATATTTTGAAGTATTAAGATTTAATAGGCACATTTAATTTTGTAGATATTTTATACGACTCATGGTCACCAGCCATGACTGTTGGTTCCATCTGCATCAGCATCCTGTCCATGCTATCAAGTTCAACAGCGAAGGTTTTATTCTATCTAGAGCTTTGATGATTTTTTTTTCTGAAGTCACATTTTTATCATCACAAATTATTTTCAAGGAAATTTCCTGAACATCCTTGTATTCATGAATAATACTGCCTTTGTCCCATGAAAATTGCAACATTCTGTATCTCAAATCGTGACTATTAGTCAAATGTTCAAAATATTAGAACCTGTAAGACCCATGAGGCCTATTCAGGTTTACCCTAGGCGTAAACCTAGATTTCAATAAGGAAAGAGTATCATTAGAGTCAACAAGGAAAGAGTTTATTTCCTATTAATAGGGGCTTAACGAAATCAGTAGAATTATGCGAATAATTTCTTTGAAAACATTGTGTAAGTGCTCGGATTTGGGAGAGACGGTCTACCTCTTGAAAGTAGGTCCATTGCTGTATTTCAATTGAGTCGGTAAGAGTACTGGATTCTTATCAGAACCCTGGCTACCAAATATATACCACCAATTCTTTTTGAATTATATAATATTTATATACGGCAACTACTCATGCACACTCCGCACTTTTAGTTATATTTGAACTCTTGACCCCTTGGGAGGTTGGGCTCTACCGGGTGCCGCTGACCAATGACCTTTGGTTGCCACCGATTCTTTGTAACAATGAAAATAGATAAATAGGTAACTTTAGCCTAAAACATTACTATTACAATTTCCATAGAACATTCTGATGTAGAAATTATCGTCGGGGGTCTTCGTGGAAATAACCACTCTACTCTTTGGGACAGAGGACATGTCTGCTTACATCCCACACCCATTGCACCTCTGAGTGGGATTTATGGGGCTCGTTTGGTTTGATTTTTTCTGAAGTACAAATTATTGCAATTTTAGTGAACAAATGGGTTTTCACTTTCTTTTCTTGGGAGCTAGGCAGTAATTCTACATTGAAGATTAAAGTTATTCCTTGCTCGATTTGACAATTTACGGGGAAAAGGCCTATCCGTAGTTGATGAAATCAGGTGTCATTCAACTGGACTATACTCTTTATAAAATGATCACCTTTCTAATAAAACCAACCTAACTAACCGAATAAATCTCACACAGAAAGAGGGGGAGAGGTAGGATGTACACAGATGTTGCCTCTACCACAAAGGGTAGAGAGACCACCATCTTTCTAATCTATATTCTAAAAATGTGGTTACCTTCGGTTGCAGGAACGCCCAGAAGATAATGACCGCTACGTCAAGAACTGTAGAAATGGCAGATCTCCAAAGGAGACTAGATGGTGGTTCCACGACGATAAAGTCTAACAAAAAGAACACACCTCGTCTCATCATTTGCCGGTCCAGGAAATTACTTCTTCATGTTGGACTATCGCAAGCATGCAGGGAAGAACAAATGGTGTGCAACCCCCATCGTATATCTGTACATGAAGAGCAAATTTTCGTGTTCGTTTGCTCAAAATGTAAGAATCTGACTCCGAATTTATATCTAAATCTGCTCATGTTTCTCAAGCAATTTTTATACATTATAACTCTTCCATACAACAAAGTGGCCCTTGGCCTAATGGTATCTATGGATCTTTGCAATTCATATGGTATTAGTGTTTTAGTTTTGTTTTAGCCTAACTTATAAGGTTATGTACATTCTTGAAAAATGAGTGGGTGTGGGGATGGATTTAAGGACGGAGGGGTGTCCGCGGTATTGCTCTATCGTGCTCACATAGTGGAATTTCTTTGAGTCTTAACGGTGCATCTGTTGTGTGCTCCCCTAAATTAAGAAAAAGTGGTTGCAGCCTACTGATAGTGTCATTGCATGTAGCATTGCACATCTGAGTGGGAGGTCAGGTGTTCGACTCCAGGTACGACCCACATGTACTAAGACACAAGATTTACCTTCCCATGATTGGCCGTGGAATTGGTATGATGGCGTCACCCTTTTTTTGTTGCAAAATCTCGGTATAAAACTTTAAATGTATAAAAGACACCATCCGTTCTTTAATTCAAGAAAAAGATAACAGATTTACAAACACACAAATGAAACTGTTTGTGCAAGTATACCAGCCCAGAACCAACAGTATTATATCTGGTAGTAGTTTTAAGTGTTGATCCTCCTGCAAATCCTTCTGATTTCGCCATGGTTGCCCGTCAATGGAGTTATATTTCCCATCTTAATCATGGACTTGGCAAACTGCTCGAAGAAATCGTCTTGATTCTCTGCGTAATGCTTCACCAAGTCCATCGTTTGTTGGTTCTGCGTATACAGGATCTCGTCGGAGCTTAACAGGCCCTTTAAAGCCATCAAATTCTTGTAGTAGCCGTTATCGAACTTTGTTGGTGATGCAGGGTCCATGGAGAACAGGTTTTGGTCGCCACCGGTTCTCGGGCAGTTGGCACGCAGTCGGGTTGCGTACGATTGTTCTAACGAGAAGTCCGGCTGCCCGTTGCCAGTGTTGTTGTACAGCCTTTGCCTGAAACTAGTGCACCTAGCATTTCCAATGGTGTGACTTCCTGCAATACAGAGCAAGAATCTGAGCATAGATGCACAATTCCCGGGATTTTAAATCCCGTTTTCTATAAGCAAAAAATGCCCGGGTTTTCTCGAGCCCAGGCTTTGGGTGTGCAAAAGGGTCCGATAGTGCCTTTTCGGGCTTTTTAAGCATGGGTTTTTTCTGTAATAAAACATGGCCCGATCAGGCTTTTAGGCGTGGCCTTGGCTCCAGGGTTTTCGGGCTGGGCCTGAATTAGGACCGAGTTTTTCTGAAAAACGTTTAGTCGTGTTTGCTTTGAAAATTACCAGAAAGCGCTACGAAATCGATAATGTCGAGACCCTTGAGCTTGAATTTGGTGAGGATGGTCTGAAAAGTGTTGTTTGGGGCTGGTATATTCTGGTTTGAGCCGCTCAAGCTTGCACCTAACGAGTCTCTTCTTCCCAACGGAACATCCCAACTCGGCCCACCGGTCTGTACAAACCCGAAAATAAAACCAGTTAAAGTTTTAAGCAATAAAGTCTTCTACACTTAATTGTGTGCAATTTCCACGAGTTATGGTTACCAAAACCGTCGAGTCTCGAGCTGCCAAAGCCAAGATATCAGCACAAGAGACGGTTCGAGGACATGCTTTCTCGACCGCAGATTTGATCTCGTCAATGACTTCGAATCCACGAGCCGAATCACGATTAGGGACTGATCTCTTCTCGCTTGTTATGGTACCACTATTGTCGAGAAGTATTGACCCATCACAACCCTACATTATTGGTCACAAACGTAAGAACACTTGGGATATGTTTCGTAAACTAAATAATAAGTTAGTTAGCTGAAAAACTAATTATCGGCTAATAAGTTATCTGATAAATTAGTCATATTTATAAAACCTAACTGTTAAAGCTAGATGATAGCGTACTAGTACAACAGCTTAAAATGACGTGCTGAAAAGTTTTAAACGAGGTAATTGGAAAAAAAAAAAGTTGTCAGATTTTATTGAAATGCTACTGAAAAGCTAGTATAATGTTAATCAAAACGGGTTTTTGTTAATTAAGTTATAAAAATAAACTATAAGTTAGTTTATGATTAAAACCGATGGTTTTGAAAGAAATTGTATGACATATATACGAACCTTAACAAAGCAGTCATGGAAATGGAGGCGAAGCAAAGAAGCCGCCATACGGGCATCTTTTGCGACTGCATTTGAAACAACGGATCTGATGATACTGATGGCTTGTGGACACGAGAAGTCGTAGAACTGTGGGTAGAGAACTCCGGCAGCGGTTGCCGGACGGAAGCATAGTACAAGAGCTAAAGGTAGGAGTAGTAGAATGTTGGATTTGGTCATGGTGCGAGTTGGTTTGTGATGAAAATGAGGAGTTGTTTTTGGGGATTTATAGAGTAAATTGAGATGCCCAAATACCAATAGTGATTTGGTGAACTAAGCTACAGGAGTAGAAGCACCTACTCTTTTCATAAAATTAGATTATACAATTAATGATATATATATATATATATATATATATANATATATATATATATATATATATATATACTCTTTTCATAAAATTAGATTATACAATTAATGATATATATATATATATATATATAGGTGTAGGTTCAAACGAGAACACCTTCATTTTACGAGAACGCAAGAACACCCTTATCACATGTGATAATACGCGTGAGGAGACCATGTGATGTGCGGACGACGTGTTCTACGACTTAGCCCGCACCAAAGATTGTCTGTGTCTATGATTTAGCATCACATGTGATGATCTTGATGGATTGGTTATGAGTTTTAATAATCTCTCGTTAAAAAACATGAAAACAACGAATTGAACTCTTTTTTGTTTTAAAGCTTTGAATTATTAGTCCGTGTGATTATAATAACTTTTTATATGGTAGATTATTTCTCGAGAGACGTGTTCTTTTTAAAAAAAATATTTAGTCATTTATGTATAGGTAATTATTGTTCAAAAATAAGTTCAGATTTTATTTTTTAGTGAAGAATCATGTTAATTTTCCATACATACCTACTTATGTGCGGTTCCTATCGATCTACATACATATAAATTTAATCAAATCGGACATGGATAGTTCTTATTAATGTATCAACGCCATTAATTATACACTCGGTAAGCTTATGAAACTATGGAATATCCGACGAAAAGTATCTTTATCTGAACAAAGTTGCCCAACTGATCTCTATTCGTGTAAGCAAATGATTTGAACCCTTGATCACCTTTACTCTCAAACCCATCTATGAATCACGCTTGATACGAGAATTGATCCAATATATCTTGTTCTAATATGCATTCAAGGGTGGAGATCGCTTATTAACCTTCACACGTTAACTCACCTTTTCACAGGAACCCATACCTAAATACCACTTGAAAGGGGTCAAAGTGTTATGAAGCGAGTATACAAGGGGGTAAAGTGAAAATTCACCATCATCTATATCATCATTACATTCAAGTCTGATACAGTGAGGGTTTTACAATGACCGCTTCTGAACTTCCCGCCACTAAAAACCCTAGAAAATGGAGGTTCACATGGGAATCCAATTCTCACGTCCCGATTATCCGATTATACCTCTTTAATCCCAACATCAAACCCTCCTCTCAATGCACCCATCTGAAAGTCGATGCTTTATGCGATAAATCTTTAATCAAAGTCACCTGGCTCCAAACAAATGAAGCAGGGTCGGCGGCGATGGAGTCTCTATGGGTTCCGATTCCTAGGGTCCTCATTGACGTTGATTCTCCGATTAATTTACGAGCACTGGATGATCATATTGAACTTAAATTTGTTCTGATTCTTCCAGTTGATCATCCGATTGTATCGTATTTTGCTTTCGAAGCTAGTGAGGAGAAAGCATTGGAAGAGGATGAATTTCAGCCTCTTCAACTGGATTCTGGTAATGGAAATGTGTTGTTTCTGTTTTGGTGGTTGAGCTAAATTATACACCTAATTTTTACGGGGTGTAGTTATGAACCTATACTGTCGATACACCATCGTTTGCAAAGAAAACGAAATTGTTAAATTATGGGCTTTGTAACTACAGCTGATACAGTATGAAATTGTTAACGTACCAATGCACTCAAATCATCAAATGCTTGAATAATCGTCAATGTGCTTACTTCTACCATGGAAACTGGATTGTTTGTAAGTTTAATTGTAGAGGAGTTATCACATATAGCCTTCACACACTTACTTTGAGTACCTTCAAAGTTCAACCTGCTTAAGTATCTGCTGCATCCAAATACATTGACACGTGCTAGAAGGCAGTCACTCTTCCTCAGTGGTTGAAAGTCACCACTGGCTGCTTCTTTATGACCAAGCTGCTGCTCCTCCACTTAGACTGTATACATAGCCGAAAGTGCTTTTTCAATCATTAAAGACTCAAAGTCCCTTGTATTAGTTGATGTCTGTATTGGCTCCATATCATCTTCATACCCTCTTTGATGTCATAGTTCTCTTGGCTGCCATCATACGAGGGTATATACCCAATATTTCATATAATTTTAATAACATAAACCCAACATCATCTCAAAAGTTGCAGCAGAGAGTAAAGTTTAACAACTGCTGAGATCAATATGGAAGTTGTAAACTGTAAGCTCTCAGTAAGCAAAACATTCTAGTAATTGATTCAGTTCCAAAACAAAAATTTGACATTTATCTCTACTTCCGGAGCTCGGGTCTCATAGCTTGCTTAGAACTACAGACAGAGAGCAGCATCAGATTCTGTAGTCGGCATTTACCTAATGTCTGACCTCTGCACTTATATGTCATAAGGCTTATAACAGTGTTTTAGAGACATCTGTACATGTGTATGTGGTTCTCCAAAGAAAAAAGGGTCAAATCCATCAATATCAGGATTCATTCATCAGCAGGAAACTTATCTTCAAACAAGAATTGGTACCGTAAACTCTCTAATGGTGTGGAAGGACTTAGAACAATGTATCATCTTCTTGTGCTCGTACTTGTCATATTCTTTTGTTTATTTATTTCAGTGTTCCTAAATTATCCATTTCTAAAAGAAAATCAGATGACCTTCGTGGTTGATCTTTTCTTCTGCTTATTGTATATCATTCTCAGTATCTTTTCTTCCAGCATTTATCATGTGTTTCTCTTGTATTTCTGTCTCATCCTTTTTCACTTTGTTGGATTCAGATCTTAAGAAGTTGGCTTCTTGTGGGGAGGTGCACTTTTATTGCAGAGGTTGCTCTACCAAGTTAACTGGAGCTGTTCGGTAGGGTGTTTTCTCAATTAAGGCCATAGCTTTTAGATTCGTTTGTTCGGTCATACAATCATCCAAGTATCCGATTTTTATTTCTCCTAAATCTAGCAGTTCATGACCTAACTTTTTTATACCTTAGTATTTTGATATTTATCAACATCCTTTCACCAAATATACAATGATGGGTGCATAAAAGTGGTAGTTGTTAACCTGCTGAACTTGCAGTTTTGTTAGGTTCAATATGGAAGTATAAGTAAACCAAGTTTTCATGTCATGGTTATAAGGATTTGTATGGTTTTTTGCACCTAAGTTGTAATACGATGACGATATCTAATTATTGATCTGATTGTGATTCATATATGCAGATTTTTCAAGGAAATGCCATCTGTTAATTGGCGTGAGGCAGCTGACAACTGGTTTGGAACTTGTTGCTGTTCTTTTGGAGGTGTAAGCGAGAAGCTGGTAGCAAAATATGCCGACTCATATGCTTGTTCATCGGGTGTGTGCTTATTGGATGCTACTTCTGTTGTTATCTGCAAGGATGACTTTGTAGGATATAAATTTCCTGATTCGGTTGAAGGCCAAGAGCATAAGTCTGTGAAGTTTTCTGGAAATAATAGTTTAACAAAAGCTGTCCCTGGTAATGGAGGTACAGATGTCTTGAATGTGGATCATGATAGTCAAAATGAAGGGATCCATAATTTTGATATAAAACCGAATTGTAGCTACCCTGAGGACGGTGATTTAACTGCCAGATTAGGTGCTGAAGGTTCTGAAGAATTACTTGATGGTAATAATTCGCATGTTATGTTTCAAAAGTTGCGGTTGATTGAAGATCTTGAAAGAACTTTTGGATCTTCTTCTGATGCCAGAAATAACACCAAGGACCATGATATTGACTGCTGCCATCTTCATACAAATGAGGAGCAGACATCTAGTACAAGTGAGTTCCAGTCAAACAATGCTTGTCTTCTTAATGGTCTTCTTGGGAATAGCTTTATGGTCACATCTCCTTATCTTTCAAAAGATATTAAGTGGAGTGAAGTTTCATGTCCGCATTGTTCATGCCTGCTTGGAGCATATCCGCATGATAATGTGGATGTGCCATTAAACGGTTTCAACACAGCTGCTCCACTGAATGACGGAGTTCACATGTTCAAATGTTTTATATCTACTTGTTTGCCAGTTGGAGGTTCAACCGACTTGTTTAGGTAAGTGTACGTAGTATGCTTTTATGTTGTTAGTTTTGCATCAATATATTTCGTTAATAGTATATCATGAGAAGCTATGCTTTTGGGTTTCACCCTGTACTAGATTAGCTGTATAATTGGCATGTACATTTTTCCCATGCTTTACCTTTTGGACCAGTCATGCCATATAGATTCAGATCATATATACAAGGATGGTGCCTGATTGGTTTGAGCTTGGGCTCCAAAGGTCAAAGCACCTGGAGGTCCCAGGTTCAAATCCAAGGAGAAATAAAAATCCCCTTGTGGCCACGGAGGTTCAAATGCGGTGACTCTGGGCTACTTGCAAAGCAGGTGGTCGTCTTGGGATTAGTCGGCTCGCATAGCGGGTTGGATATCCAGGTTAATAAAAAAATATATCATCATAATTTATATATAAGAATTTGCTGCATTAATCTGGCAGGAAATACACGTTAGAGAAGATGTTCACTAGCCAATTGTTGGAAAGTGCAAACGATGAACTCTCGTTCCGAACTGTGGTTAGAAATCTGCAGACCAGATCTCCGATGTTGCAAATTGTTCTGTTAAATCCAAATTCATGGTGCTCTTTTGGGGACTGTATGGATGTGACGGTACCCATTCCGAAGGTCAATATGTATCCCATGATTAAAGTGCTATTTTCCGACTGCAGCAACAGCAACGAGTCTCAGTTGAGGTCTGTTCCCAAATATGCTCTTAAATATGCTTTTTTTTTCTTTCTTGACCCTGCTCGACTAGCTTCGCTCTGTCTTGCATGTTCCACTAACCGCAGAATGCTAGTTTCTTCATCTGGCTATGGAATTTCTTTCTCTAGTATTTGTTTCTTCACACTTCGTGCTCTAATGGAGATGTTACATAATAATTTTACCCCTTCATTTCATTTGCATCTTCACATTGTGATAATCTAATTTATCTCTTCATCCTGTTTGCTTCTTCAAACTGTGAAAATATACATTTAAAAGAGCGCAAAATACATTTTTGTAATAGTGCTCAAGGGGATTAGAAAATTAAGAACCATTTTTGTAATAATTTTACCAGGGTATTTTAATTATTTCAGTTCTACTTTATCCTGGGTCACTAGCATTACTAGCAATCTTCTTTGTTTCTTTCTTTGGTTCACTTCTTAGTTGAGCTATAGAAAAAAAACAAGGAGCCATACCTGCCTTCCTGGTTAGTTATTTCCAATATAACATTAAGTACTAATCAATGGGCACATCTCCGTTATTGGGCATTTAGTTTCTACAAATTCTTTTAACCCTGTATCTTTTATTACCAACACACACGTATTTCCATTTTTTACTTCCTTCCGTAAGCACTATTACTTGCTGCTGTTAACGAGAGAATTTGATTCTTATGCAGGAAGCTAGATCAATGGGTTACTAAGAATCAAGTCGGCGACGTTTACATGTTGACGTCAAAAGCGTTAACAGAATCATTGGAGCTAGCTAACAGTATGCTCCCGCCTTCACATGCATATCTTCAGGGTTTGTCTTTGTCTTTCTTGCGGAGGTAATGAACAATAACGTTCAAATTGTAGGACGTGAGAGCTATAATTTTGTCGAAGGTAAATTTAGTATTCGGATTATTATTGTTAAGTTACCCCATGGTAGTCCTAGGCGATTGGGTTTTGAACATGGATTGCCGGAGGGATGTCTGTTGTGAGCATGTAATGATACGCTAACTTGGGAATGTCAAAGTTAGCAGTGTTATTGTATTCATTAGAAATTATCTTTCTAGTAATGGTTACGTAAAATAGATGTTAAAATTATGCACATTGTTTTGTTATAAGCAGCATAATCAAAAGATTTAATGGTCAATATGCTTTATGGTACTGCGTCGAGGGATGTATATATCCAAAGATGCTTCTTGCATATGTGTTAGGATCTGATGCATTCTGAAGAGTTCAAGAAACATGGATGTTACGCCTATGATATATCATGCATCCAAGGACAAGTTAATTACTTCTAATGGACCTTTCATAATAGTATATTACTTATACGTGTTTCGCTATTTTGATATTGGACTATCAATTCAGAAAAATATTAAGTAGCACCATGGATGCTTCGATGAGTTTTGAGATGCGACTTCGTGAAAGAACTGAGATTCCTTTTGGGTTGTACCTATGATCCACAGTTTTCTATTTATGTAGCAGTCACCAAATGACAGAAAACTTGCAAGTGTGGGTTGCAATTGTTGTCACATCTTTCAACAAATGCATCTATAATTCCCTTCAAAAATGTTGTAGGTCACAATGAATATATCCTTTTTCCCTCCCTGCCACAGAAAAAGTCAAAAGTTACAAAGCTGTTGGGGTAACGGGTGGCAGTTACCTACTATCGTTGTAACTTATGGTTTGATCTTTGAAAAAACTGAAACCCCACTTAATTGGATGATCATGAAACTTGCGTTTATGGCAGAAAAGGGACTTTGCCTGTATAATTGCAAAGGTGAAAGTTTGACAATATCTTCTGTGGATTTTGTGCCTCCTTAGCTTTTTATAAAGTTTCACAAGTCAATGCCTTAACTAAAGATAAGATGGATCTATGCTCTCCCTTTTTGTATGTATATGTGGCGTCTTAATATCCACTTGGAGCCGTATCTAAGGTCCCAAATCGATCAGTATCAATCATCTTATGACCACACTTATTTGTTGCACCTCAGTATTAGTAAAATGACATATGGTAATTACATGCTTAAGATTGGTTACAATCTGCAACTTCATTACTTCAGGAATATTCCTTAGACTTTATAAGAGAAAACAAAACCTTGAATTTATGTTTTTCTGGGGTATCTTGGTTTTCTTGATCATAAAAATCTATCAGTTTGTTTAAATCTGTGTTAATCATGACTGACACTCTTCGTATTAGTTATGTTTCTTCTGATGGAAGTTCTAGATATTAGTACTTTTCAGAAGAACTAAAATGGTTGTCATCTTGATTTTAGTGCATATTCTGTCATTGGATCAAATTTATAAGCTCCAGTTCCATAAAACAAAAACTGCATCAAGTTGTATGACAAGAATTTACAGCAACTGCAGAGGACCAGCTTTACATTGCTGTTAGAGCTGTATTCACTGTGTTGACCTGTTGATGAAGGGCATATTAAGTTGCTTATTCCCAATAAGACTGGAATCAGGTTCTCATTCTCTTCTGGTAAGATTGACTGAACCTCATTATCTGTTTTAGGAATGCATTACTCAATTAATATGATCATGAATAAAGGGTTCTGCTTTTGGTAGGCTTATGTAAATAGAGTCCACCTGATCGGTGTTTAGGGTTGGGTTCCGGTGAGAAGGGTAAGATGGGATTTCCACCCTTTGATCAATCCTAATTGAAGACAACCACTAGATCTACACTAGTGAGATACATTGGATCAATTCTCTTCTAAATGCAATTCATGGGTTATTTTGGGATTAAAAGTGATCAAGGGTTCAAATCCCTTCTTATACTTCTCCCATTAACTTCTATTCTCACAATCCTTCGTCTCGGTGTTTATTGCAGCAAGCAGGACCAATCTATTGGCCCTTTGGTTAAATGACCTGGCATGTTTTTTTAAATTGATGATCTTCTGACAGGTTTTAGAATGTCACTGCTAAGCATACACAAGAATGACTAGATACCTGTTGGAATTTAAAAAACATCCGCCAGGAGGCCATTTAACTAATTAACCCACCAATTCCATGGAGGCACCCAGGCAAAGCCCAAAGGTCACCCGAGTAAGGCCGTCTTTGCCAAATATTCGGAAAGCCAATAGTAAGTCTCGATTACATTCACTTTTAAAAGTTCAGTTGAAATTCGTTCTACATCTCCTAGCCCTACAAAATCTCCGCTGGTCGGAATATATTCTCTAATTTCATGCGCCGGTTCTCATCAAAAACTCGTGTTTTGACCTTTCCACACGCAAGTCTGAGAGGCTCAAACGATGCCCACTCGAATAGAGAAAAGTGCTTGGATTTTATTAGATTCGTTTGGTTCCATACTGATCAGGTGGCTATAAATATGACCTTAACACACCATAGGAAATTGCCATCTCAAGCCCTCAAATACAAATTAAGTAGTTGAATACACGGTAGCAGGTCCTGGACCCTATTTTGTGTGGGATTCACCGTGTTCGTGTGATGGACCCTACTCCATGTGGTATTCATTGGGTTTGTTTGGTGCACCCTACTCTGTGTGTGATTCACTGGGTTTGTTTGGTGCACCCTACTCTGTGATGCACTGGGTTTTGTTTGGTGGATCCTACTCTCTATGAGATTTACCAAGTTCATTCGGTAGACCCTACTTTATGGGATTCATTGGGTTCGTTTGGTTTCAATGCATGGTAGCAGGACAAGAGAGGTCTTGCATGAAGAAAAGAGTCTTGTTTGGTAGCCAAGGATGACTTGCCTCCTCCTTCTTTTCTAAGGGTTTGGTCTTTTAGATCGATCGATTATTTGAGACCCTTGATTGGTCGGTTATCAGGCGGGTTCCTTGGCTAACCAGACAATCTCTTCTCTTTCATGTCAACCCTTCTCTTGTTTCATCCAACGGTTCTGAATCATTCCTACATATGCAACAGATCAATTAAATTTGTCGAGAATGGCGCTACTATCTCCTCCTACATGCATCAAAGGTGAGTATTTTGTGTTAAACTAATTTACTTCTTATATCATATTAGCATGATTACTTCCTGTGTATCGGTCTATTTTGTGACTCTCGGGCAAGGCGGGAGGGGATTAATACTCTTTCTTTCTTCTAGGAATTATATAATGCGATTGAATATTATGGTTTTACTGATCGAGTACATTATGGCCTCGTATTTGATTACAGTTAGATGGTACAAGTTCTTGAAAACCTATTGTGTATGTACGGTGAACTCGTGCCTATACATTTCCATAATTCGTCTCATTAGTGTTTTCGGTTCATCTCGATAAAAGTTAAAAGTGGTAGGTTATGGTTTTACACAAACAAACACACACACACACCCCAAGTCAATGGATGAGTTCTTGATTGGTGTCGATCGATTGCAGTGAGTTGTCGATCAATCGTAATGTGTTCTTGATTGGTCTCGATGTGTTCCTGATGCTTCTTGATAAAAGATGAAATATAGTCTATGGTTCGACACATAAACAAATAACAAAACAATTGATAGGTTCTTGATGAAAAATGAAGGTGGTAGGTTATGGTTTAACACATATAACACATACCAAGTCAATGATTGAATTTTCGACCATTATCGATCGGTTTTGATTGGTCTCGATAGGTTCCCGCTTGGTCTAGATTGGTTCTCAGTTGGTCTTAGTGGGTGTTGGTTTACGGTGATGAAGAATGTGGTGCCTTACGACGTTGAAGAAAGTGTTGAAGAAGGTGATGTCGAGTTACGGATTTAAGTTGTCGAGCTCTTGTACTCACTTGAACGTGCATAAATATTCATAATGAATATAAAACATATATACCATTTCACGTAAAAACGATTAAAACGAGAAACAAAAAACTATATCGAGCTAGATGTCATATCGAACAACATGAAATTTTTTTTTTTTTTAATGTAATTTGTTTAGTTAAAATATTAATTTTTAAGATGATTTATTTTAAATTTTTAATAAAACAAAAAAAAAATAATTAAAAAAGAAAATGAAAAATGAAGAAAAAGGTAGGAGTGGAATGAAATTAAATGAATTTTTTATCCTAATCACATTAACTAATAATTTTAATTAAAAAATTATATTTGTATGACTTGTTTGATCAAATAAAATGAAAGGCCGAGATCAGTTTTTACGTTTATATTAAAATATCCCGAGTCCCGACAATGCCATTACGTGTGTAACGGCTTTCAACTGCCACGTGCATGTGCTCATCAACTATTTAAAGCCGACTTTTCATCTGTTCTTATCCACTTAAGAAAACATCACCTCCATCTTAATTACTTGTATTATTCGTTGAATTTTTTTCTTAAAACATGGAAGGCGGCAACACGAACGAGTATGCGAATCTTATCCGCCAAACCCACGACTGTGCCAACCCAGGAGTCGTCGGCGACACGGAGGATGGGCGTGAGGGTTTGAGCACCAACGTGGGTTATGCCACCGGCGGCGCAGGTTGCCATTATGATTTTGGCAACACCACCGGTGCTGCTGCTGCTGGCCTGAATCAAAGTGGTGCCACCGCTCTGGGTGGCGATGGCAGTGCCACAAAGAGCGGTGGTCATGAACAGAGGCAGCCGGTTGTTGACACCCCGGTTGTTGACACCGGAGTTGTTGATGGTTTCAGTTCTGTAGTTACCAAAGACACAGTGAATAAGTAATTCGTACTCTCTTATGTTTTCTGTCATAGGGATGTAAACAACTCGAGGTTTTAACGAGGTATTAGAGCTCGTTTATCTCGAGTTCGAGCTTAATAATTCTCGAGTTCAAGTCGATCTTGAACACAAAATAGAACACATTTAAATTAACTAGTTGGGTTTTATAAGTTAATGTTCGACTTGGCTCGTTTGATAGCTCAATTAAATTTTTTATGTCAAGTCATTCGAGCATATATACTTTTTCGAATCGACACATGCTCATATCTATATAAATAATACAATAAAAATATAAAAATTATAATTTTTTTTCTTTTTTATTAACCTGGATATCCAACTCGATATGCGAGTCGATCAATTCTAATATAACCACTTGTTTTATAGATAGTTCGGAGTGATCGTATTTGGACCTCCGTGGTCAAAAAGAAATTTTTATTTTTCATTGGATT